GATATCATTATAGGACCTGAGCAGACAAATGGGACACCAAACGTCTTTAAAATTCTCCAGCGTTCCCCACAGTAAGAACAAGGGACCAGGGCTCAGTCACCAGAGGCAGTTCTCAGAGACCTTCTCCTGTCCTCAGTGGGCTTGCCACAGGCCACACAGGGCCAGCACCACAGCTGAGCACCAGCAACACTCAGGATACAAGCTAGGCACAAGTCTTCAGGCTGTGTATGACTTGGTGGCTTGGACCTCTCAAGCCTTCCTCACTGGTTTGAATAATGAAGAAGTAATTATAATGCCTGCCTTCTAGGATGCTGGAGAAAGACATGAATGCTCACCCATCACCAGACTCCTGTGAGTGGTGGTTATCAGGACTTTTGTGTTTTGCACAAGAGGTGAAGGTAAAAACAGAAGCCAAGAAGCCCCTGCAATCCAACTACCCCCCCTGCAACAGACCCCCATCCCTGGTTCCATGGGGGATCTAGTCCAGTATTTCACTTCTCTCTGGCCACAAGGTATCTTGCTCCCAGCATGGGACCTCCTGCTCCTCTTTTCTTGCCTACAGGCAGTACATGTCCCCTCCTCTACCGCCCTGGCTCTGATGATGTCCACAGACACTGACTGGGAGCGTGCTCTCCTCCACATGCTGGCAGCCACTCAGCCTTGTCACCTCTGTCTTTCTCTTCCAGGTATCCATAGGCTGTCCCAGCTGGCAGCCTCCTCCTCTTCTCTCCCCTCCCCCTCCCATCCCTGGCCCAATCCCTAATTAACCATCAAGACCTGTCAGCTCCAACTCCTAAAGTCTCTCTTTCTTCCCCCTTCCTCAGTCCCTCACCGACGCTGACCTGGGTCACACTTCCCTAACAGTATCCTTGTCTCCGGCTCTGGTCCCCACTCAGGCTGCCCAGGAAATTCCTCCCCCACACACTGCACTCCCAACTCCCACTCCCCTCTCATCTCATCTCGGGTTACACTTTCCACCCTGCTCCTCCTCCCTCGCTGTCACACCACACACACACACACACACACACACACACACACACACACACACACACAGAGGCAGGGAGAGAGAAAGGGGGTAAAGGGAAGAGGGACTGGTAATCCCCCACAGAGGCAGAAATGGTGCTTGGACCTTCTAGCACTTAGTAAAGAGCGGTTCCTGGATCCACTAGGACGGATGAGTTCATAAGAGGGTGACATGGGTCTGTGCACAGATAATGTTAGCAGTGTTAGGGTCAGGGCCTGGGTCCTGTCCGCCGTAATGAGCTAGCCCTCTGTCCTTAACGGCCCAGCTGAACAATAAAGAGCAAAGAAAGGAGACTTACTCAACTCAACCTCATTACAAAGAGGAAGAAATAAAGAGGTCCGGTGACCTCCAAACCCATTCGGGGGTCCTGACATGAGGGCTGGGTTTAAATACAAGTCGAGGGATATGCCTAACAAAGCAGACCTGGTCAGGGTGTGGTCCCATCCATCACAGGCCCATTGCTGTCTCAGCTTGCAGTCAGTCCCTCCTGTAAAGTGGTCTGACAAGTAGTCAGGACAGTGTGAAGTCTCTCTTTGGGAGATAAGTGGCCACCCTCCCACAGGTATCTGCTTGCAATTTTTCCTTCTCTTAGCATGAGACTCCTGGGGAAATCATAGTTTGGGGGGAATGAATGTTTCAATAGTTTGATCACCAAAAGGAGGGGTGCAAATGTCTCTCTAGAGTATTTCCATCCCTGTCAGGTCTGATGAGGGATGGCCTTCTGTATGTACGTTTCTCTCATTGGTTGATGAATAAAACACTGTTTGACCAATAGAGTCAGGAAGATAGGTGGGACCAGGAGACTGGGAAGGCAGAGAGGCACCAAGGAGAGATGCCACGTAGCCGGCAAAGGATTAATGGTCTGGGCATTCTCCAGTAAGCCAAGACCACATGGCAATACTTAGATTAATAGAAATGGGTTAATAATTAAGACAGAGCTAGCCAATAAGAAACCCTAGTCATCAGCCAACAGTTTAATAACTAATATAGCGTCCGTCCCTGTGTTTATTTGGGGCTGAGAAAACTCCACCAATACAGGACAGTTAAAAGAAAGCCACATGAGGACATAGCCAGGACAGCCGTCTAAGGACGAAGAGAGACTTCAGGAGAAAGCAAACCTCTGTGCCTGCCCTGCCAAGGCCTGGACTATTATTTACCCTGCCCATCCTAGGGTTGTCTAACTGGTTACTAGGATCACTCTTGTGAACCTCATTACACACGATAAAATCTGGGTGACCATGCTGCATGAAATCAGCAAAAAGAGAAGCTCGCCAACTCGGAAGAAGCCAGGAAGAAAAGTGACAAGGGGCTGAGGGCCCTGCTTCTCCAGCCCCAGGCGGAATTCTGTGTAAAAGGGCTGAGCACCAGCATGATTAGCATGACCCAGTGGGAAGTTCTGAAAACCGATTGGCTCCATGCCTTCTTCCCCAGAAACTGTGTACATGCATCCAACTGGAACATGCGCCCATGCGGATGAGACTTATTTAACAGGGAGCCTTTGCTGTCTTCATAATTAATTTCAGTGTTGCTCTGATTCACAGAGAAGGCGATGCCAGGCGGCAAACATGCATGACTGTCTTTTACAGGGACCCACTAATTGCTGCTGTTTATGTAGCTGAACGCAACTGCTCCTGACCCCTGGCTTCCTGCTGGCCTACCACCACCACCACCACCACCACCACTACCACCACCACCCAGGCTGCAAGCGAAAACTCATCTCTTTGTAAATAAGGGGAGGAAGTGTCTTTTCCCCCAGTATTAAAAATGAGTGGGGAAAAACTTCCTTCCCCAGATGAAACCACAGAGCTCATTAGAACAGATCTCCCCAACAACTGACATACCTAGCACTGGGCAAAAGCCAAAGCCTCAACTCTATTTTAAGAGGAAAAAAAAATAATCAGCCACTGCAGGGCTGGAAAGCCCTCCCACGCCCACCCTGTGGAGTTCGGAAGCTGCTTTCCCGGGGTTACTCTGTACACACTCTACTCTGGCTCTAATTCATTGGGCAAATCACCCTGGAAACACACCCTGCTGGTGGGAAACAAGAAACTGGATCCTGCTGGATAAGCAAATGGGAGCTTTCTGAGATGGCACAGTAAAGGCTGGACTGCAGATACGGGATCCTGCAGGACCTGGAGGTCTTACCGAAAGGCCGCCTCTACCTTCTTCATGATCATGCTGCCTTTGCAGACCATGCATGACACAGGATGCCAAGTCAACCTGAGCATGTACATGGTAGGACTGGGGAAATGGCCATTTCAGGGGGAAATGAGGTTCTACTGAGCCAGGGGTGCAAGCATCAATTCTCTTTCATGACAGAGGTTTCCAGAGGCCATGTGACCCCTCAGGGTCACTCCCCTCTTGGTCTCTGAAGCCAGTCTATAAATACTGGGGCTAAAATACTACACTCCGATTGTCTCAAATCCCTTCAGTTCCCCCACTGGCCATTTCTACTCCCTTTTTTCCCCTGACTCAGCCCCATATTATCCAGAGCCTAAACCAATGACAACAGAGGGGAAAGCCTTAAATTATATAAGCTGAAAGCAAAGAGATCCAAGGCAAGGGGTGAGTTTTGACAGTGAGGGTTCCCAGGCCACTGAACTCACTCATGGAGACTAGCAGCAACCCCACTGTCCAAGAACACCCCAAGGTGGGCATCCTGTACCCCACATTCCTTATGCACCATCCCTAAGATCATAGCCAGGACTGAGACTCTCTCGGAAAAGTCCCCTGGGCTCATCTACTGCCTCAGTGACCCAAATCCTTTCCTCCTCCTCGCAACCAAGCTTCTTCTTCCAGAACATTCCATCTGGGCTAGCCTCCTCCAAGGCTGCATGGCTAGCATGCTCTTAGCCCTCCCTTCTTCCCATCCATCACTCACAGAGGCTGAAGATTTGTCCTTACCCGTTCATGACAGGAAATCTCTCAATAAGATGTCTTAATAAGAAATGTGCAGTTCTTCATGATCTGGTACCAGCCCTGCTTCCTGCCCCTTCATTTTATTTTTCTTGGAACAAACTTTATTTTGACTACTTACATTCTATCAGTTTTTGTTTGGCTCCATTACTTTTGGTCAAATAAATCCTTCATTCTTTAAATGCTTTTATATAGCAGTCATTGTGAAACATCGAATCCTTTATTTTGTTCATTCTCTATTTGTGTGTGTGAGTGTGTGTGAGAGAGTGTGAGAGTGTGTGTGTGTGTGAGAGAGAGAGTGTGTGTGAGAGAGAGAGAGTATGTGAGAGTGTGTGTGAGAGTGTGTGTGAGTGTGTGAGAGTGTGAGAGAGTGTGTGTGAGTGTGTGAGAGTGTGAGAGAGTGTGTGTGAGTGTGTGAGAGTGTGAGAGAGTGTGTGTGAGTGTGTGAGAGTGTGAGAGCGTGTGAGTGTGTAAGTGTGAGTGTGTGAGTGTGTGTGAGTCTGTGTGTGAGAGTGTGAGTGTGTGTGTGAGTGTGTGTGTAAGTGTGAGTGTGTGAGTGTGTGTGAGTCTGTGTGTGAGAGTGTGTGTGAGTGTGTGAGAGTGTGAGAGAGTGTGAGTGTGTAAGTGTGAGTGTGTGAGTGTGTGTGAGTCTGTGTGTGAGAGTGTGTGTGAGTGTGTGAGAGTGTGAGAGCGTGTGAGTGTGTAAGTGTGAGTGTGTGAGTGTGTGTGAGTCTGTGTGTGAGAGTGTGTGTGAGTGTGTGAGAGTGTGAGAGAGTGTGTGTGTGTGTGTGTGAGTGTGTGTGTGAGTGTGTGTGTGTGTGAGAGAGTGTGTGAGAGAATGTGTGTGTGTGAGTGTGAGAGAGTGTGTGTGAGTGTGTGTCTGTGTGTGAGTGTGTGTGTGTGTGTGAGTCTGTGTGTGAGTGTGTGTGTGAGTCTGTTTGTGTGTGAGAGTGTGAGTGTGTGTGTGTGTGTGTGTGTGTGTGTTATGGGGGAAGGAGACCTGTCACAGGCTGAGTATGAAGGTCAGAGAGCAACTGTGTGGAGTTCATTGTTTTCTCACACTTTGATGTGGCCAGCGATCCAGCTCAGGTGTGACCAGCACTTTTACTGGCTGGACCACTTTGCTGGCCTTCACATTCTCATCCTCCGTCATGCCCCTTCTCCCTCTTTCTCTCTATTACTTTTTTATAATGACATGTAACAAAGCCATCTTCAACATTTTATAAGTGTTTGTATTTGTGTATGTGAAGGTGTATTCGTGGGGGGTGGGTAGTGTGCATCCTTTGCTTTCTGAGATAGCATCTCTCAGTGGTCCATAGCTCATCAACTAGGCGGGCCAGTGAACCCCAGGAATAGGTCGTGCTCGTGTGTGTGTGTGTGTGTGTGTGTGTGTACACGTGCGTGCGCGTGTGTACCACATGTATGACTGGTGCCTGAAGAGAGCAGAAGACGGTGTGGGACACCTTGGAACTAGAGTTACAGACAGTTGTGAGCTACCATGTGTGTGCTAGGAACCAAACCTGGGTCTTCTGCAAGAGCAACAGGTTGTTACAGATGGTTCTTCCTGCCAGCCTGGTCCCACAGCCATGTCAGCCCCAAATGAACACACAAACACTATATTAGTTATAAAGCTGTTGGCTGATGATTAGGGCTTCTTATTTGGCTAGCTGTGTCTTAATTACTAACCCATAACTACTGGTCTATGTATTTCTACATGGTCTCATCTTATTGGAGAATACCTGACTCACGTCCTCTCTTGCCGGGCTCACAAGATGACTTCTCTGCCTACGTTGCCCAGAATCCTCCTCATCTCCTAGACCCGCCCATCTTGCTGCCCTATTGGCCAACAGTGTTTTATTAATCAACCAATAAGATAAATATATACAAAAGGACAACCCCATCAACCGGTGCTTTTAACTGCTGAGCCATTTTTTCCAACCCTGTATTCAGAACACTTAGTAAGCAATCTTTACATGCTCTTTGTCATGCAATGCCTTGGAACCCTGACGTGTGTTTTATACTTCAAGAGTACTTGCTTCCTTTATACTCGGGCACAGTGACTAGAGGCAACCACAGCAGACTATAGGAGAGTTCTAGCCACGTGGCTTTACATAAATCATTTGTTCTCTATGCACAGGTCTCAGCACACCACCTGTCAAAGACCCAGAACTCAGTCAAAAAGTCAGGCAAAGGCATGAGGGACAAAGATGCCCTGCCCTGTCGCGGGCTAAGTGTGCCCAAAAACACTTGGCACGAGCATCTAATGTCAGGGTCCCAGCACTGAGAAAGCACAGGCAAGAAACCTCCTCTCTAGTGACAATAAAGGCAGTCATTATGACATGCTGTGACACGGTGAGCATCACGGCTCCAGTAGGTCTCCCAGTCTGTATTCACACGAACGCCTTAACAACCCAGGGCAGGTGGCTTCCTTCCTGTCCCTCCTAAATCACCTGCTGTCAAGCCAGCCCCAGTGCTGCCTTCCCCAGAAAAGAAAAAGAAGGCCTTCCCCCGACTCCACTCTGATTTATCCGTGTGCAATTACGGTGTCAGTCTGAATAAAGCAGAATTTGTGTTCCTGCAAGGCCTCCATAAATCCTCCTGGCCTCCTTTCCGCTCCAGAGAAGACTAACCGCTCTGCTTGGGAGAGGAGCCCGGGAACGGCGTGGAATCCATAAGCAGAGGGGAACTGGGTGGGAGGCGGCCTGTGTTTGTGAGCTGTGTGCAGACTCGATGGCTGAGATCCTCAACTGTGGTCTCGCTTCCTTTTCTTTTCAACACAAGTTGTTCTTTCAGCCTCCCTCGTGAATTAGCCCCCAGCATATTCATTCATCCATTCCTTAAGGCTGCCACACAATGGTGGCCTCAAATAACAGCATCTGTGGCCTCATAACTCTAAAGGTCATAAGCCCGAGATCAAAGAGCTCACAGGGGTATTTTCTAGTGAGGCTTCTCTGTGGTTTGGATGGCCTCTTCTCACAGTGGGGTGGATGCCCTACCCTCAATGAGCCCGCGCCTGTATACAAACTTCCTCTTGGTTTTGTCTTTTTTAATTACATTTACTTTGAGGGATGAGCATGTGTGTGGTTTTGAGTGCCACCGTGGGCATGTGGAGGTCAAAAGACAACTTGTTACGAGTCCGATCTCCCCATGTATAATGGTAGGTGCTAGAGATGGGCCCCAGGTCATCAGACTGGGTGGCGAGCGCCTTTACCCACTGAGCCATCTCAGCCAGTCCCCTTTTCTTGTTCAACTTCTTGACTCCTGGGAAAGGTCCACCCTCTCTCAGTTCCCCTCGGCATTTGTAGGGCCAGCTCCCTGGTCCTTCCACCTGGCTGGCCCCTCCTCACTGTGCACTGTGTAGGACATTGGAATGTGATACACAGTCATCCCACGTCTCTTCAGTGCCTTCCCTTTCCACAGCATCGCCCAGGCCATCACCTAGGAGAATCCAAACTCCTTCTTACAGACACCAGTCAGCCTGGACCTGGACCACGCGCTGAGGACGACCCGAAAGCTTGTTTTCCTCTAGAAAGACTCCCTAAAAACAGCCATCTTCCAGGTCCTGAGAGTCAGCTTTGACATGTAAACTGGAGTGTCCACGGAGTCAATAGATGTCACATATTTCAGTGCTAAGGGAGGAAGAGGTGAAGGACAGAAGCCCAGGCTCCTGTCTCCAGATACATCCCCCCCAAAAAATGGGGTACTTCCCATTAAGTCATTAACTTCTTTATAAATAAATGTAACTCTTGCATCTTAACTTTGCATCCTTATCTTTGAAAAGAAGTCTCCATGTCTTCATCTACATTCACCACCCCGACTCCCTCACCTCAGCAGCTTTTAGTGAGGGAGTTTAGGGGACAACAGATTAAAATCCTTTCTGCTCTTTCTCATCGAAAGCCAACACTCAGCAGGGAAATGAGGAAAAGCCGAGACAGGTGTGTCCCTAGGGCTCACTGAGCAGCCAGCCTATCAAGGATTGGTAAGTCCTGGGCCAATGGGAGACCCTGCCTGTAAACACAAGGCTCCTGGAGAATGACAGCTGAGGTCGTCCTCTGACCTCCACACATACGCGGTTACACACACACCACACCACACATGTGCACACACAGGTTAAGTATGAAAGGGTAGCAGAATATTAAACAGCAAGAGCATAAACGCACACCCCAAAGGAGAATTCCCTAAAGTAAGTCCCAGGACTTCAAAGGTGGCATCTGTGAGCCTGTCACCTGTTGTGGTCAATGGCCATGGTTTGTACACTGAGGCAGAGCCACGACTGCCTGCTTAGCTTACAAGAGTGGAGCTCTCAAGCTGATTCCAGGAACAAACAATCTCTGGCACCGTGTCCCATAAAACTGGATTCTGAGCTTTTACAGTAACTCAAATTGCCCGGTGATGAATTCACAGCCACCTCCACACAGGCACTTTTCCTAGATGCTTTTCTTTCATTTGCTTGTCTTTGGGGTTATGACCCCAGCCTGCCAAGGCTGAGCCATCTCCCCAGCCTGTGTCTCATTTTCTTAATGGTATCATGGCACAAGAGATGTTGTTCTTCCCAACTTCGCGTCTTCATCTCCTCCTCCTCCTGCTATAAGCCACTGAGTCTGATTAACGCTGCCCATATGTCCATGGGTGTAGGGCCCTCCACTGCAGGGCTGGAAACGTGTTAGCGGCCACACCCATAAAAAAGAATGAATCTTTCTCCCCCCAGAGTCTATTAACTGCCAACAGCTCCTCAGGAAGGGGTGAAGCCTGGGGGACACCCCACCTTTGTGGCTGTTAACCCCACCTGTGCAGGACTGTGGCTGTTAGCCCCACCTGTGCAGGACTGTTGCTGTTAGCCCCACCTGTGCAGGACTGCAGCTGTTAGCCCCACCTGTGCAGGAGCTGTGGCTGTTAGCCCACCTGTGCAGGACTGCAGCTGTTAGCCCCACCTGTGCAGGACTGCAGCTGTTAGCCCCACCTGTGCAGGACTGTGGCTTGACTTGGTGCAGACAACCACAGCTGCTGAGTTCATCACCGTGACAGTCTCATCACATCTGCAGACCGCATGCCTCCCTGTCCTCTGCCTCCTCTTCTGAGATCCTTCCTGGGCTTTTGTGGGAGAGGAAGGATGATAAGGATGCCCCATTTAGGGCTGAACACTCAGTGACTTATTCTCAGCCCCTTGGCCAATTAGTGTTGTTCGACCTGAGTACGTTTTTTCCTCAAAGCGTTTCTCTTCGGTTCTCCAGAGCCTGTGGATCCATCTGGGGGGAACTGACTCGCCCTGCTAAAAATGTGACCTTTACAGAAGGCCTCAAGGTTCCCGCCCAGCTTCCATCCACAGGAGGGATGAGCTTGGGGACTTAACTAGAGTCACACAGATGGGTGGTCACCCCAAAACCGAAGCATGAACACAGCTCCTCTATCTGCAACATCAACCTTCAGAAATATTTTAGAATGAAAATCTCTAACATCATCTAATCAACCACGCAGTTATAAAAGTAATTTTTTCTGGCAAGAATAAGTTGATCTGTGTGTTAAGAAGTAAATAATTGAATTTATTTACTTTATTTTGAGACAAGGTCTCACTGTATAGCCCTGGATGACCTGGAACTCTTTATGTAGACTAGGCTGGCCTTGAACTCTAAAAGATCCTTCTGCCTCCTGAATGTCTAACTTTCTTTTTAAATCAATAATAGTTACAGGGGAAAAAAAAAACAACAACCAAGAAAAACCCTATTCTAATAGTAAAAAAAATCTGCCTGGTAGTGGTGGTGCACACCTTTAATCCCATAGCTCAGGAGGCAGAGGCAGGCTTATCTCTGTGAGTTCGAAGTCAGCCTGGTTTACAGATGCAAAGCTATAGAGAGAAACCCTGTCTCAAAAACAAAACAAAACAAAAAACTAATTTTAAAAAGGTGAACTATATTAGGCTAGAGAGATGGCTCACCAGGTAAAGGTTCTTGCCACAAAGCCTAGAAGAGCAAGCTTCCAAAAGTTTTCCTCTGACCTCCACAACAGTGCTGTGACACACAAGCCACGCCCCACATACAAAATTAATACACAAATGTAAATAATTTTAATTAAAGAAAAGGAAATGTGAACGGCAAGCATCCAGGGATATGAATATTTATATAATCAAGTCCATAAAAGAACCATTTCAAGAAAGGA